TATAGCACTTTTCCCAAGGTTCAGGGCACCTCAGATAGACCAGTAATATTATCCCAGTATTACACAAAAGTTGATGGATGGGGCACATACAGGACCGACAATTATGGGCTCATGTGAAGCTGCATACAGATAGCTTCAATGGAACAAACAGGGGCAAGCCTGAGTTCCTCTGGGGCTGAGTGTATTCTGCTTCCCTCCGCCTTTGTTCCTTAAAGGACACAACTCGACCTGAGAGACGCGTACTTCCGGGTGCGCATACGGGAGGGGGATGAGAGTAAAACGGCTTTCAATACTCCATTAGGTCAGTTCGAGTACTTAGTTATGCCGTTCGGTCTTCAGGGGGCTCCGGGGGTCTTCATGAACCTTATCAATGAGGTCCTACATGACTTTTTATTCAAAGGTGTGGTTATTTACCTTGATGACGTGTTACTGTATTCCCAGGACCTACCCTCTCACATTAAATTGGTTCGCAAGGTCCTCCGCACGTTACATAAGCATAAACTCTTTGCTAAGTTGTCTAAATGTGAGTTCCACAAGCCCTGCATTGACTTTTTGGGATATCGTATTTCGGGGGGGGGATTGAAATGGATCCTGGCAAAATAAAGGATGTCCTTAATTGGGATCCTCCCAGAACACGCCGCCAACTTCAAATGTTCTTAGGATTCGCCAATTTCTACCGAAATTTTATCAAGGGTTTTGCCCAAATTGCCCTCCCCCTTACTGACTTATTGAAAACTAAAGGGAAGGGTTTCGATGCCACCAAGCCGGGCGCACCGCTTAAATGGTCCCCTGAATGCGCGGAGGCGTTTGAACGTTTGAAACAAATGTTCACTTCTGAACCGGTCCTGGCGCAGCCTGATGAAACTAAAAAATTCATTGTACAAACTGATGCCTCGGACGTCGCCATGGCTGCTGCCATTTTACAGGAAGGTGAGGATGGACACTTGCATCCGCTAGCTTTCGTCTCCAAAAAGTTCTCGGAGGCTGAGCGGAACTGGTCCATTTGGGAGAAGGAAGCGTCAGCGATCCGTCTCGCCCTCTCCTCCTGGCGTCATTGGTTAGACGGGGCCCAACTGCCATTTGAAGTCTGGACGGATCATAAAAATCTGGAGATGCTGAAATCCCCCCGGTCGCTTAACGCGAAACAGCTCCGTTGGGCTGACTTTTTCAATCCCACAGCATGACAGCCAACGTGAGGTCATCATTGACTCTATCTTCTCGCCTTCCCACCTGGGGGGTGCCGCAGTGACTCGTGCGCAGGCGCGCAAACTTCCGCCGCCTGGGAACTTTCCTATCCCCTCCGCTCTGCCTGACATGGGGGGGGCTTGGACTCACAAATATGTGTCGGCTCTCTTCTTTGCCTGACTGTGTTCGCAGCCCGGAAGGGCTGATTTATTCTGGCATCAAGTTGTATGTGCCTTTTTCTCTTCGCAGGGATGTTATGGGGTCTGCTCATGGATCCAAACTTGCAGGACATTGGGGGTTTGTCAAATCCCTTCAACTTCTACGCAGACAATTCTGGTGGCCTCATATGCGCAAGGTCTTATTAGAGTTTGTCCGAACTTGCCACACTTGTGCATTGACTAAACCAAGGGGGGGGAAGCCTCCCGGCCTCTTGCGACCCCTGCCTACCCCCTCCAGGCCGTGGGAGGTGGTCTCCATGGACTTTATTACTGATCTTCCCTGTAGCAAGGGAAAAACTGTAATTTGGGTGGTTGTAGATCTGTTTTCTAAGCAAGCCCATTTTGTGCCTTTCTCGTCGTTGCCAACTGCCCACAAGCTTGCGAAGGCTTTTATGTATCACATTGTAAGACTCCATCTTTTACCATCTAAGTTAATTTCAGATAGGGGCTCCCAATTCGTTTCCAAGTTTTGGAGGGAGCTCCTGTCAATCATGGGGGTGGAGCAAGGTCTCAGTAGCGCTTATCACCCTGAGACCGATGGGCAAACCGAACGGGTTAATCAAACCCTTGAGCAATATTTACGTTGTTTCACTAACTACCAACAAACTGACTGGTGTGATCTGTTGCCTTTGGCTGAGTACTGTTACAACAACACCTTGCATAGTTCTATTGGGATGTCCCCTTTCAAGGCTGTTTTTGGTTACGATAACCCCCCCTCTCCCCTTTTTGAACGAGACTACTGTTTCTCAGGGGGGGGATGCTAGTTCTTGGTGTAAAGCATTGCAAGATGCATGGCCTCTATTATGTCAGACTCTGGATGCTGCTAAGGCAGCTTATAAGGCCCAAGCGGATAAGGGACGGGTGGTGGGATTGGATTTGAAACCTGGTGATCTGGTATATGTTTCTACTAAAAACATCAAGATGTTGAGACCGAGTAAGAAACTGGGTTGGAAGTTTA